AAAAAAAAAAAAAGAGCAGATATCCCAGAAACACGAAAATTGACGGCTTTGTTTCAAAGGGCGTGATTGATTGTATCATCGGCACGAGAAGGGAGTTAAGCACGCGAATCTATTGTTATTAAAGATGGTAAGTAGGCGTGATCGGTACGTATCGTATGTATAGGGTGCCATTGATGACTAGTCGTATATAGATTGTAAAGATTTTTTTTTTTCTATTCAGATCAACAGTTGCATTACCGAACGGACACACACAGCTAATCCAAGCATTTTTTCACCAAGTACTTGCAATAAACAACATTGGTGGGCAAACGTGCGCGACCCCCAATTGCAACACACACTCGGTGTGTGGTTTGCATGACTCACTGTACAAGTTCCTTTGGGGGACTCCCTGACCCCCTCAGCTGGCCGTCATTGGCCCGCGCCTCGCCGCATGTAACCCTCCCGTCGAAAAGCGAGAAAGCCCAGGGACATATATATATATACAACGCACAACAAACGCACATTGGCGCGGCTCCAGCGACTATACTGCAGCCCCGAAACAAAACAAGTGGCGGATACCTAATTACTTTTTAATCCCATACGACTATTTTTCTCCCCCGATGGTTGCGTGCATGCTGGGCTTCATTCCCCGGGTTCTTTTTCTTCAACTGTACAAGGAACAATCGTACACCTTGCAAAAGAAAGAGAGAAGTTAAACTCCCCCAATGGGCTTTGGCTCCCGTCCAATTGGCGATCCGTATACCCGAGCGCGGGAAAGCGGCCTTATGCGAAAACTGCGACCATCGAACGAGCCCGAAACTATACGATTCCGAGGGGCGCGTCGACTACGTCAATCTGTTGATTATTAATCGAAAACAAAGATTGTCTTACACGGTGGCGGGTGAGTATCCGATCGTATCTGTGGTGCGGCAGCTTTCCTCGAGATGACGGACCCCACGGAGAGCAGTGTAGGTGCCTATACCTACAGCTCGAGGAGGGGGTTGGATTCGGATTATACACGGTTAGTGTATGGTCGATCGGAGGATGAGTGTGCGTGTATATAGATGGGTAGACGATTGGGGGGGGAGCTCTTCGTCTGCGAGTGACGTTTTTAGGGTGGCCACCGATGCCTGAAGGGGTTTATACGGGGAAACTAGGAGATCGTGGAGTGTTACTGGGAAGAGAGGCTGCTGCTGATTTTGAGAGCTGCGAGATTGCCGATACCGTGCATCCCGTAAACGTTGCTTATTCGCGTTGGATGTAGTAACAAGGAAAGTAGCAAGGAAACCTAGTACTTACAGTTGCAAAGTTGTTTTTTTTTTTTTTTTTTTCTTTGCGAGCAACGCATGAGCTTCGCCGGGAGGGATGTATGGGGTTGATGTAACGAACCGGCATCTCCGCTCGTCAGAGTAGAAGTACATCCCAACTGGATTTGTTCGATTAAAAAGTTTGTTTGGAGCTCTGCGGCCAAACTACCTCGCGGAACAAATCTATTTTGTCTGGCTGCGACATTTCCTTGGGAGAAACGTACACCTGTATGGCTCATCAGTTACACTTTTTGCCGTCCAAAATTACAATGTACACACGCGTATGGCACTAAAGTCCTGAAACAAGGAGGGAAAAAAAACGAAAAAAAAAAAAAAAATGCTGAGCTCAAGTCGCTCATAAAGCCCGAAAAGTACTCTTTCGTGCCAATACTTGTACACGCACCAAGGAGCCCAAAAAGATCATACATGTACAGTATCTATAAGTATAGAAAGCTAGTTGTAGGCGCGCTATACGTATCGATTCAACCGACCAATTAGGGCTTTTCTTGGTCAGTCGAAAAGCCGCTCGCAAAGGGAAGAGAACTCTCCGACATGGGTCCTCTTCCCCCCTGTACACATATACACTTATCTCCTCCCTCTTCGACAAAAGTTATATATACCTATAGGCGCGTACGAGTGCGCTTTCCGTTGAACGTATACAGTACATTGTAGCCGAGGCACGTGCGCCCACTCGATGGGGGGCTTGTGCGTAATGGATTTTTCTCTCCCTATATACTCTTGCTTTTGAGTGACGTCGAAGGATATAACGCACATAGGGAGCCTCGGGAGGAGCATATGACATTTTCGCTCAATTTCAATCGCTATTCCTTTGCCGATGAATTTTGTGTTTGAAATGCTTCGGCGCGAGTTTGCGAAAAATTTTACTCTCTAATGTATATACTGATAAATCGGCTAATCAGAGACAAGGGCACTGTTCGAGAAGTACAATATTCGTTTATAAAACGTTTCGCCGAGGGTCACACGTTTCGGCTGACATTCGTATTCCAACGAAGGGGATGAGGGGGGGGGGTGGTAGGGGTGCATTTGAATTTCCAATATCGGTAGCACGGATTCCGGGTTCCTCTATTGAATTTTTGATTTTCCGTAATTTTCCCCGAAGCCGTACCTGCATGTACATATGGTTATACCGGCGCACGACCCTTTGACACGGATATCTTACGCGAGTGAGAGAGCCGCGCGTCGTGTTCCTCTTGATCTACTTGAGTGAAATTCAGAATTGGCAGCGAGGATTTTAAAACGTACGTGTGTACACGGGTGGGTGTATACTCGGCTTCGTTTGTCGAGGGGACAAGGGCCCTAGAAACTTGTAAAATTAACGATACAGACCAAACATCCTCGACTCGCGTACAGGGGATTACCCCCCCCCTGGAAAAATTTCACGAGTGGCGTGGTCCGTGTAGAGCACCGGGTCATAATCATCGGGAGGAGAGGCTACGAAAAATAAAAAAATTTTCTCCCAAAGAGACTTCAAACTTACGAGCGGAAGCACGAAATAATTGGCTTCATGCAAATGGCGGGCTTTGGTGCTGGCTTTTTTTTTTTTTTTTTTCATGCTATTGCCGAGAGCGTTCGTCCGTTGAATCAACTCTTCTTCGCTTTGCTGTGTGTATGAATGCATCTGATAAGGACCACATGTACCCATTTAGTTGAAAAAAATCAGTATACACGAGCTGGTAATCTTACAAAATTAATTTCGAACAACTTGAGCAATGTTGTTTTTTCTCTCACGCAAACTCGTACAAATGTATACATATGTACACATCAAGAGATGCAGTATCCTTTTACTTCGAACTCCACCGGTCAGTTTACGTAAACTGTTGGAAGCATCGAAACTTTAGGATATGCTGTTTATTTCGCCCATAGCGGTCTAGAGATGACGACGACGATGGATTCTTCTTACTTAACATACTATTCCGGTAGCTGTTGGCCCGAGCTTTTATTTCGTGCCTTTACTTTCTTCGCTCGCTTTTTAGCCTTGATTGAGGCACGACTGCTAAAATGCACACGTTCTCGGTTGAGTTGGCCTTGTGCTGTAATTTTTCTTTTCTTTTGACGAGCACGACTTTTGAGAATCATCGCATCAGATGTACGCAAAAAAGGTAGAGTAAATATTATACTGACTGGAAGTATTTAATGTCTCCACTTTGAGGGAAAAGAAGTATTTATACGCAGAAAAAAATAACTTTTAGCAAGAAGCTTTCCTACATGGGATCGTGGCTGTGGGTGAACATTTTTATTTTAAGGACTGCAGTGATGTAAGTTTTTTTTAATGTTGAATTTTTTGGATGTTTACATTTTTTTACTCACGCCACTTTGAAAATGAGCCCAACCATTTGAGTTTGCCCATACTTATTTATATACCGTGAGCAGTGTTTTCTTTGTGGGTCACGGTTACAATTTTCGCTCTCATATTATTAGGGAAGGGTCGCAGCTTCATGTGCGCGAGAGTGTGTCAAGTCTGTATGAAAATTTTGCATGAACACGCGCTGTGTTTTTTCAAGTAAAAAAATTGATATATGATCAAATGTTACTTTCCACTAATATGGACTGACCACAAAAGCTCCATTCTCCACCGTAGTTTTTTTTTATCGAATATCCGCCTTCTCCCCCATAAAATGAAACATGTTTTTTTTTTTTTTTTTTTTTTTTTTACTTGGATAATTTGTTTGATAATTTGATATTTTATTTTATATACATTTTGGTTAAAGTTAAGAAATCTTACTTTGTATGTTCAAACAGAAAACGCAAATTAAAAACGAATTGGTAATTAAACTAATTTAATCATAAAGTATATATCTTTTCGATCGTCAGAAACAACAACTACTGATTTTAGCGGTGACAGATAATGAAGCGTCACAATAATTACACTTGTGAGCTGAAGTGCAAAGTATTGCGTTATTAGCACCAAATAGCATAGATACGCGTAGATAAATCAACACCTGACACCATTGTTTACTCACACACTTCCTCGAACAGCTTTAAGCATCGACACTTTAAGCGTTCGTGGTAATATATAATATATGTATGTATACACTAATGTCATTTATTTTTCGAAAGTAGATAACTCGTATCTATAATCAGTGACATAATGGTATGTTGAAGGGTTTAACCATTCAACAGAATAGATTTTCGTTTCAATCATTAGACTTTATTTTTTAATATTTTGCGAAAACTTACGCCTGTCAATGATACTTTTACATATTTTCACAATTCGCAGAGCACAATGTATACAAAGAGATGAATCGTTTAACCCTATTTTATAAATATATAGATATTACAAGAAAAGAATAACAACAGATTTTAAACTTTTACAAACACACGTAAAATGTAAAAAACCCTGGGGGGAAGGCAAAAAATTGCCTTTAAAAAAAAAAAAAAAAAAAAAAATTCCTTGTATAAAATAACAGCTTGTGAAAGTTAAGCGAAAATCACAGTAAACACACAAACACACACACACACATAGAATAAACGTATGTACTTGGAGTAAAAAAAAATAAAAAAAACACCCGCAATGACCGTTATGGGGTTTTGTAAAAAAAGGTCCACGGGTCCCACGAATACATAGCTCGTCCCCTAGACGAACTCACCGGCCTGCATCTCCTTGACCAGATCGGTGATGAGATGCTTGTAGGTGAGGGGCTCGGCGTTCTTGCTGAACTGACTGAGAACGAACCAATCGCCGATCCGACACCCGTTGAAAACCTCATCCACCTCGCGCTTGGCGTTGAGCCTCGAACGCGCCCGGAATATTTGCCTACGGAAGTTGACTCCCGTGCACGCGCACACGCGGTAAAGCAAGTTCACGGCGCTTACGGCGGCCAGGAACCACAACCAGAACCAAAGGAACACGTACACCTTCTCGTTGACGACGTTCAGCGCGAGCACGCAGAGACCGTCGTGCTTCTCCACGCTACCGCTCGGCCCGTACTTGGGGAAGGTGCACTTTGTCAGTTTCGGGAACACCCGGGTCATGGGGTCGATGCGCTCGTACTGGTCCATCTCGGTGAAGTTGATGACCTCCAGCCCGTACCTTGAGAACTCGCCGCCCAAAAATACGTCGACCGCGTACATTTGCAGAAATACGTTGAGGAAGTTGAGAATCTCGCAGACGAAGAATCGGTAGGCGTAAAGGTTGTGGGAGTGGAGGTTCGCGATGAAGTAGTCGACGAGGAGTTTGTTGTTCTTGGCCTTGTCCTTGTCACTGGTGTAGGGCTTGTTCGAGAAGGCCATGAGCATCTTGATCTTGCCACCCTCGGATATCAGCCAGAGGTAACGGGGCACGTAAAACAGGAGGGCTTGGCAGAAAAGGGCGAAGCACACCCACTGGTAGTTCTTGTGCAGCTTGACTTGGTCGCTGTCTTCCACGTGGATCGAAACACCGGGTTGGACGACACTCCTGCCGGGGATTCCATTTTTTTCTGGTAACGTGAAGGTGGAGTGGATCCAGCAGTAAGTGTTCATTATCTTCGGTGGAATCACATCCGCTAGACAGTTGATGGGATCGCCAAAGTACTGAGTTGCACTGACCAGTATCGAAAATGACATCAGCAGGACGAAGGTTGCCTTGTAATGTAACTTGAATACAATGTTGTCGATGCATACGTCGTCCAACGTCAATAAGCTCTTCACGGGGTCGAAAGTTTTAAACATTTTGACCTTTTTTAATCAATCGAAGGATTAAAGTTCACAATGCACGTATACTACTTTTTTGTCAACTACAGCTAATATATAGCTATACAAAGCGTGTTAGTACTAAAGCGTCAAAGTAGCCACGGAGTGTTTACACGTGACGCAAACGAGTCTCGAGGGCACAATAGCTGTATAGAAATTGGCTACGCTAACCTTAAGCAATCACGAGTTTTCTCATGCATATTAGGCAGATAAGAGGTCAACGGGTGGTGGGGGTCGGTTCGTGCCTTTTCTCTCTTTTCTGTTGTCTTTTGCCATTAATATTGTCCCGTGCCTCCTGCGTTACCGAAAAATTCAAGAAAACACATTTATGAATAAAACAGAAAAAACGGCACATGTATCGATAAGCAGCAATAAATATATATCTTGCGCTATGAAGTAAAGTCGAAATAACTTACCCAAAGTATTAAAAACCTTGAATGGGCCGAATAACACATATGTGTATGTACCCATGTGTCACCGTGGCATAACTGAGACTGATATCCCCGTTGGCACATTTGATACTCGGGTACGATGAACTTTGTTTATATATTTTGGGCCATTTTCGTGTAGGAACTTACCATAATAGACATAAACCGCTGATAACTGCTTTGAACCGCTAAAGGTGTTGCTATATACGCATTAATATTTACGATATCAATCATAAGTTTTACTCCTTTACGAAAGTTTTTCCGGCTTTCGTGCGATTGGAAGGACTAGAAGGCGTATTGCTCTTTTTCTTATCTCTATGCTTATGTCTCCATCCCTAAGTCATCAGAATCGTACATTTTAGAAAACTGCTCGATGCATTATATCTGAGTTTTACACCCCCGCGCAGCTATTGCTCTTTTTGTTGAATGTAAAAAAAAAAAGTTGCAAAAAATCCTGCATGTCACCTGTATATTAATAGCGAATATAATCAAAGTTTTTCGTCCGAAACAAAATATAAAAATGTAACGTCGCAAGTAGCGCACAAAACTTTTTATCATCTGGATTACTTATAGGACTTTTCATTGCTCGAATCAACATTTACTCAAGTACTTTACGACACATCCACATGGACGTGTAACGCGTCAATTGATGACTCACTCATTTAACCCCACAGAAGAAAGATTATCCCCAAAAGAGACATCAGAGAAGGCTATGCACGCGATTATCTTATCTCCCCTGGAATCCAAAACGCGCTATCTTCCCCCGTTCGAAGTACTTGTAAGTACACACGCTTCTTTGTATCTCACCATCAACGTTATCATATACCCCATACATCCACTTTCTACAAATCAGTGGTAGGCGGTACGATATATGTATTATGTGCCCGCGCATTTTTTTTACCACCTAAAAGCCTACCCCCTCGAAACGCCAACAAAATTTTGAATAAAGATACACGGTTCAAGCCCCCCTCGCCTTACCACAAATATAAAAAAAAAAAAAAAAAAGGAAACGTAATAATAGGTAACGAGCGATAAACAGACTCGATAGGCAAGCGTCTGTGAATGAACGATTCGCTCTCTTACTTTTTTTTTGATCAACGTATTAATGACAAACGCTCCAGTAGGTATTTAATTGGAACACGCGCAAATAAAAAAAAAAAAAAAAAAAAAACGAGTTGGGGGCTGGTGCAGAAGAGCTTCGCATCATTGATGGCCTGACACATCTCTCCTCGATGGGTTAGCTCGCGCTCTGCCACGTGCATGCGAAATAAGAGAGTAGCGAGTATATACAACTCCCTTATTTCTCTCGAGAGACAGATTACATACCTTTTCAGAGAAAAAAGGAGGTGGGGCGGGGGAAGGAGGTTCAGTAGACCTCCTGTATCATGTCGCTTATACCTACACTTCCGTGAGTTTCGTATGAAACACGTGCAGGTATACATGTGGGAGGAGGAGGAGGAGGAGGAGGGAAAAATCGTCAAACATCATGAATGTCCAAGGGAGAGCGTCGAGGCCGCTGGGGCCAACCCCTTAAAAGCCTTCTGTGTGCACCTACTTGGGTGATGTGCTGAAAAAGTAAAAGAACGAAAACGCGAGAGAGAAAGGGAGGGAGGGAGAAAGTGGAGCGACGAATGTGTGCCATCGCGAGTGAAGCTTGGACGGGCCGGGTTGGCGATATAAATAGAGGGGACAAAAATATATGATACGGTATAAGACAGAGAGAATGACAAATGGGGTGATGCAAGGCAAACTGAGCCTGTGTGCACTGCTGCTGTTCTATCCAACCGTATATGTATGCAGCTTTGTGTTTGTGCGGGTTTTTACGCGAACGGGTGCATAAAAAAAAAAAAAAACGACAAGGAATTTGCCGAAGAACGTGCGTGTGGATAAATTATTGTGTTCAGGATGAAATGTTGTACGTGTGTGACCAATTTAATAGAATGGTGCGTCTGTTTGCCAAGCCGTTGTCTGTGTGTATTAATTAATTTTTAAAACTGCAAAGATCGGCAGACAAAATGTTGCACGTTTGGCTTTGTTGCAGAGGTATTCGATGCACACGGATGATTGCACGCATTCGTTGCGGAAAGAATCGTAAGAATAGGGGTTGTGATATCCATGTATGTTTTTAGAGTTTGGATCTTTGGAATTTATTCAGAAAAAATGTAACAAAGTCGTAAAACTATTGAATAATAACAGAACAATATAATAATAAATAATAATAATAATATTAAAATCAGCAGTTAAAATAATAATGAATTACAAAGAGCTGTGTTTTGAGAGAAAAAAAAATAATTGCAAAGTTGGAGATTCGATTATAGTAGGATATTAAGGATATAAAAGGGTTGGTACGAGGACAAGACACATCAATACAATAACATATTTTAGGGTTCATACGACTTTGAAGATTATAATGAAAATGACACTAGTAGTGGCGCTGTTATTGACCCAATTTTTACACACACGTGGTAAGTATTTCAAATATTTTTTTGCAACGACGACACTTTTGTTCAATTAAATTGTTACGAAAGGCCTTTGTAAGTTTTTTCAACTCAAAGAAAAAGAAAAATAGCCCACATTGATAAGCATATTAATAAACGTGCGAATAAAAAAGCGTATGTACTAACGAGATAACGTCGAAAAGTACTCAAGTTGAAAAAACATATAAATGAGCTTTAAAAATTAGAAAAAACACGCCACACGTCTATTTAACGAAGTAGCCACCAAAATGTACATGCTACGTTGTTGGCTCCACTCATCTCTGCCAATCTACACTTTACACTTTTCGAAACGGCAGAAAGAAAAAAGTCCTATGTATAAAACCATAAGAATATTTGTCATGGCGAATCACTGTGAATCCACTCCTAAAGAGCGACTCATCGCTCGGTTGAAACTCGTCCCCGTTGAAATTTAATCAGCCTAAAGGCCCGAGAGATTAAAGCGGATTAAGACCAGAGGCTTTATTCCTCAAGATTGCTCCCCGGGAGCCAAGTGCGGGGCGGACTCGGGCGGCCCTCGCGAGGGACCATTTAAAAATTCACGGCACCTTAAATTCTGCACGGGATCACGGGCATGCGAGTAAACTCAAAACTCGCGACACTGTCTCGTTTCATAAGAGTGTGCTTTTGAAAGTTTCATGCCGGTGCGGGAGGTGCGGAGGCGGCGGGCTAAATATTTTAAGCCGAGCGTTTTAGCGGGGCGTCGAAGCGAGCGGGAATGAAGATAAAAAACAAAACGCAACAAAAGAGATTTTCAAAGTTGACCTTTTTCCTTCGATCGCGAGGAAAACAGAAGTTGTCCTCGTAAACGGGGGGGCTGGAGGAGAGGTTGCTATGAAAATCCTAACTGTATGTAGTGTATATACACATGTGTGCTCGCTCAAGTTTTTTTCCGTGCGATTTGATTTTTTTTTTTTTTTTTTTCCCGAATCCGTATGAAACATTCATGAGACAGTCATCAGCGAAAATGCATCGATGAATATTCATGAAATAAATAAATGAGCTTCCCCCCCTGTGAGTACAATATATGGATTCCAAATAACTACGTATCATTAGATTATTGTTTCTATGGTCTTGTGTTGTTTTTTAAAGGTCAAAAAAAAAAAAAAAAAAAAAAAATTCGAGTCAACACGCTATAGAGGATTGAATTTCAAAAACATTGGCCAGCGTATAGGCTGTGATTAACAATGGGAGTTCGTCGAAGCGTGAAATAACCAACTCCCGATCAGTACAATACGTGCACTGTGTGTACGCGTTCATTGTCTCTTTATCGACCACCTCCTCCTCGTGGATTTACATACATGAGCAGCCCCATGATTTCAATCAAACCCGGAGGTTTGCTCTCTCATCCTGTCGCTCCAGAACCGCGGATACCGGAATTTTATTTTTATTTGACCACGTTTCCCTGCTTTCTCTATATACTCTCCTTGCACTCGATGGAAAAAAAAATTAAACCATTTGAATTACTGAATATTTTTTACCACGTATATTCGTGTAATCGTTGCAACAAAGCAACTCGTACATGACTGACGCTCGAGCCGTCAAATTTGAATTGCTGCCCTCAATGTCGAGGGAAGCGCTCGAACTAATATTTTTTTATTTCGATCGTACCCATCACTATATAGGTGCGTGTACGCATACGCTTGCTTTTAAATAAATTTGTTATTCAAATCGTTTCAATTGCGCGTGCCCTCCTCGTGCACAAAGAACCAGCGGCGCGGACAAAACGAGCTGCCGCAATTTATGTATATTTATAAAAAAGGCATTTTTTTTTTTCGGTTTTTAATTTTCATTTGCGCACGTCAATATGCCCAGCTATACTCGAGATGGATTTATTTCGTCTCGTACTGATTTTTTCCGCTTTCAAGCCATAACTATTGACAAACAGTTCAAACAGGTATTGGGAACTCGCCTGAAAAACGTATTTCTATCCAACATAGCACAGCCAGACTTGGGTACAATTATTTTATGGACCTTTAAAAACTATCGAAGAAATTTTTTTTTTTTTTGCTTCGAAGTACATTTGTTTCATGAAAAAAATTTTCATTCAACATCACTCGGGATAAAAAATTCAGAAAAATGTTTTTTCCGCCCTTGGGTGGTTTTGGGAGGCTGGTACTTCCTCGGGCAAAAAAGCAGTTTTCCGGAACTCGTTCGAAAAGTCTCCTTTACGAACCTCGTTACGGACCTCGCCTTCGGCTCGGGCCGCAAACCTCTCGGTTCGCAAACAAAGACTTTTCAAACTCGTCGGAAAACTACTATTTTCCTACTTTGGGCTTTTATTTTTTTTTTTC